GTGCTCATTTTGTTTTCATACTAGAACCCACAGCCATCCACTGGAGGTGAATTATGGGAGATCTGGAAGGGTGCCTATTGCTTTGTTATATGCTAATAGAGCAGAGTTGAGGAGCTGGTTGACCTCCAGGTGTTATTGGACTCCAGTGCCCATCAGTCTCAGCTATCCTAGCTGGTGGTGAGGGATGATGGGAGCAGTAGTACACTGGCACCTGGAAAGCCATTCCTGTCATAGACTATGGCATAGACTGGGGTTGGAGGAGGCTCCCTTATAAGAACATAAGTAAGAGCCGTGCTGGATCAGGCCAAGAACCCTTCTAGTTCAGCTTTCTGTATCTCACAGGGGCCCCGCCAGATGCCTCTGGGAGCACACAAGACTAGATATCTGTCTCCTGATACCCCTCCCCTGCATCTGGCATTCGGAGGTACTGTACCTTCCTTTTAAGCCTGGAGATTGTACATCCCATCATGGCTTGTAACCTGCAATGGACTTTTCCTCCAGTAATCTGTCCAATCCCCTTTTAATGGCATCTAGGCCAGATGCCATCATCAGCACATTCTCTGGAAAGGAGTTCCACAGACTAGCAACATGCTGGGTGAAGAAATCTCTTCTTTTGTCTGTTCTCACTCTCCCAACACTCAATTGGAGTGGCTGTCCCCTGGTTCTGGTATTGTGTGAGAGGGAAAAGAGCTTCCCTCTATCCACTTTATCCATCCCCTGCATAATTTTATACATCTCAGTCATGTCCCCTCTCAGGCACCTTTTCTCTAGACTAAAGAGCCCCAAATACTGTAGCCTTTCCTCATAAGGGAGGTGCCCCAGCCCACCCATCATCTGAGTCATTCTCTTCTGCACCTTTTCCAGTTCCACTATGTCTTCTTTGAGGTGTGGCGACCAGAACTGTACGCAATATCCCACATGTGGCCTTACCAGCATATTTACAATGGCATTATAAGGTTGGGTGTTTTATTTTCAATTCCCTTTTAAATGATTCCTAGCATGGAGTTGGCCTTCTTCACTGCCGCCGCACACTGGGTTGACCCTTTCATCGAGCTGCTCACCAGCACACCAAGATCTCTATCCTGATCCATCACGGACAGCTCAGAAACCATCAGCTGAGAACTAAAATTTTGATATATATATTTTTTTGCCCCAATGTGCATTACTTTGAACTAAAATTTTGATTTATTTTTTTTTTGCCCCAATGTGCATTACTTTACATTTTCTCATATTGAAACGCATCATCTTCTAGTATGAAGGACATTGTCCAAGCTTTTCTTCCACCTGAGCAGTTTGAGTTGATCTGTTGTAGCGGTTGAAGAGAGTGAAGAAGGCAGGAGAATTTGGAACCTAATGCGACACCTCGTATACTACAGCCAGTTCCAGGAAGGAACAGAGATGGTATCTTGAGCGGTTGACTGTTTTTATCCTTTAGATTGCTCATGGCACCAGATGTGTCAGCTGTGACAAAAATAATTGAATTTGCTAGTTGTTAAGTTAAAACTTAGATTTTAAAAATATTGAAACGTTTAAAAGGAAAGATTTTAAAAAGCAAACAGTTTGACCCATATTTCGAGGAAAGTATAGAAAAAGGGCAGAGAGGTCCAGTTTTGCGTGTATTTTTATTTTTTTTATTTTTAAGGGATTGCTCTGATAATACATCATGATAATATAAGACTTTGTGCTGGGGGTGGTGCATGGGGTTTAATGTGGTCTCTCCAGCACTTCCCGCCCTCAACTCTCTGGTGAGCAAACCCTGAAGCTGGGGGTGCGCGCACATGCAGACATGGGTGTCACTCGCTGGGCAGTTGTTGCAGGAGGAAAGTGCAAGGGGGGATTAATAGCTAGAGCGCTGGGGATCGGGCAGGGCAGCCTGGGGGAATGTCTGCATTATCATCTGTGGCAACCCAGGGAGATCACATGCTTCCAGTCAAACCCTTTTGCTTTGAGCTTGCAAGCGGATGCTGAGTTCAAAGGGCTGAGGTGTGATTGATGTGTGAGGATAATTCCTCCCCTCCCCACAGATATACACCCTCCACCTTTGCCCATCCTGTAAAACAGGGGCTGCATGAGGAACAAGCTGATGGAACACAGGGATATGAAGTGGCTCTGGGGATTAAGAAAAAAAGAGGACAGGACATTAAATCCTGGGATGGGGGCGGGGGGGGGCTGGCAGGCAAGAATGATGGCAGAGTACAAGGATTAGATTACATGGTCAATCTAGATCAGGGTTTTCTGCAGGGTTGCACAGTGTATTTCTTTCCACAGCAAAGGAGGGAGATTTTGTCTCCTGGAAGGAGCAGGCCTACAATTTACACCACTATACCAACCTGTACCTAGTATGGTGAAGTTAGTGCACAGAGAAACAGGAGACCTCGGTTTGAACCATGGAAATTTGCAAGGTGGGGAGAGGTAGAGTGGCACCACTCCTAAAATATCTCACTTACCTTCGAAACCCTATTAGGATCATTATAAGTTGGTTCCAACTAGGCAGCACATAACACACATTGCCCTGGACACACGCAGTCTCATCTGATTTCCCAAGCTAATTCTGGTTAGTACCTGGATGGAAGACAACCAGGGAACAGTAGTGGCTCTCACTCCATCGCAAGTGGCAAAATGTCTCTGGACCAGCTCTACATTGGTTGGAACTCCTCTACCAAGAAGGTCCAATGTAACAAACACATTTGTTCTTGAAGTATTTTTCAACTTGCTTTTAATGATCAAGTTCCTTCTGCTACTCTGAAGTGGAAGCAAAAGGTGACATAAAGCTTACTATTCAGCCACATACACCTCCCCATTGGGCCCCCCAAAAACAGAGATTGCATCCTTCCCTTGTAAGAAAGACCTTCTTGGAGATGTGATCTCTCTCACCCTTTGACCAATCAAAGATCAACAAAGAAGCTGACAGCTTGAGGCTGGGTCAGGAAGATACCACTCACCCACCACCTCTAACCTGCAGTGCTGCATCTTGGAGCTTATGAAACACACTTGCCGAGAGCTCCACCTTGGCTAGGCCTCTGCACCCTGCCTACACTTTCGTTGCCTGTCTGGTATTCTCTTTGCATAGCCTCCAGACCAACATTACAGGCAGGGTGGGGATTTATCAGACAGCACAAGATACCAATAGGATGATTCATCGCCACCCAACCCATGCAGGGCAAAGCGGGCAACTCCTGCTGCTTAGTAAGGAAAAGGCAGCTGCTTATATCAGCCCCAGCACTCAGGCACACATGGAGCACAAGTCCTATGTTCCCCCTCTCTCTAACTTCGACCCATTAATAGGGATCATTTGCCTATTCTTGTTTTTAACTGGTACAGAGAAACATACGGTCTCTGTTGCAACTCGGGGGGAAAAACCCAAATTTTTTAACTGCAACTCCAAGAATCCTTCAGCACGCACACAGGATCCTGGCCACAACAGTACTGCTATTCTTGCCTATGTATCTGTTGCATTTGAGTTGGGGAATAGAGGTCACACTTGGGAGCAGTTCAGAACTGTTCGGTATTATCAATAGCTGTGGGGAAGTAAAATGACAGTTTATATCAGAAGCGGACGATACCTCATGGAGAAATAAGACAAATAAGTCAATAGCAAATGCTTGGAATATTCAGTAATGAACTGTGACCAGAGCTTGGAGAAGTTAATTTTTTGAATACCAAAGCAACTTTTCCAAGCTTTGATTTTGAATCATCACTGTCTTGGAATAGGTAAACCTGGGAATATTCCAAATTTTTGCCTTTGTTGCCTTTGTGCAATTTACTTCCTAGCATAATTTGCCATTGTCCCTCCCTACAACTTGTCGTAGCAGTTACCTGTTCCGTTTCTCCTCTGAGCTACTCTGCCGCTTGTGGTCCCCTCCTACACGCAACAGATTGATGGGCAGAATAGAAGGATCCTGCAGCAGCCTTAATCTAGGACCCATCATAAGGAATTCCCAGAACTATGATCAAACAAACAAACAATCCAAACATGGCAGAAGATGGTTATTTTTGACGCAACAGAGTGACTCAGCTGCCATGGTATTATTTGGAGCTCAATACAACCATGTGACCCCAGTGCTTTTCCCACTGTACTGGCCTGCAATCCATTTACAGACCCATCTGTGTGTTGGTGTTCACTTTTAGAGCCTTCAACACCTTGGGGCCAAAATATTTAAAAGGAACGTCTCCACCCATATTTACCTGCCATGAAGCTAAGCATATCTTCACAGGCCCTCTTCCAGATGCAGGTGGCTACAAGACACTGAGCCCTCTTGGCTGGTGACCCTTCACTTACAAAGCACTCTTCCCCCCCTCCCCCCCCCAAAAAAAGCTAACCAGGGATCCATGCTATGTTTTCACTGCCAGACAAAGACTTCCCTTTTCCCCCAGGCATTTTAAGTTTTTATATTTCACAGTCCAGGCTTTCTTGCAGAGGACTGGAATGGCTGTTCTTATACATTTTGTAATATATATCTCCCATGCTGCTTTTTGTTTTCCGTGAATACTCTAAAAACAACAACAATACTTCTTCTACAATGTCATGGATGCACAAGACTTCTCATTATCGGGCAGATTCAAAACAGAATAAAATTAATAGTTTTATAATTCCTTGTTGAGAAGGGTGCATGTTTCCTCTCATATACTACTCACTGGGATATATCTGTGAAGATCCTTAGTCATCCAGGTGAGGTTATCTGGAAGTTGAGTCATGGCAACTGGACTTCTTTCTTGTTGGAAAGTAGGAACTTCTACTTGTTCACTATTCATCCAAGTAGCTTCCAGATACTCACTGGGATGAGCGCCGATCTCTGACAGCACTTGAGGTTTGGAGGTGGACACGGATATTTTTAATTCATTTTGTGTGGTCTGTTCTGTAGCTTCTGTGTAAAGCAAAGTGCCTACCAGAAGCACCCCTAACTTCACCCAAGAAAGTCTCCAACATTACAACCTGAAAACCACATACGCACACCTAACACAGTGCCATTTTTGATTCACTTTTATTTCCACAATAATAAAATAACTTACCAACCACAGTAACTGCCCTAAGTGCCTATGGCACAGAGACCTATTTCTTTCAAAAACAAAATTTGCTGCATTTAAAAGAAAGAATCCTGAGCAACAAATGTACTCGTGGCAGCCCCAATGGGTCTTCCTTGGTTCCTTTACTTTGGGACAAGGGATTTTGAAAGGTAGTATTTTGGTCTACAGAGTGGTCTGCCACCTGAAGGATCCCAGAGTGATATTAAAATGGGCATGGTGTTTTGTAGGATTGCGGTGGGATGGGAGATTGGGTGGACTCTTGGGTGGGGTGTCTCATGGACTTTAGAACCACAGCTGGCCATGCCAATGTTCAAGAGCAACTAGGCTGTACGATGTTGCAGATCCCAGCCAGCCCCTCCCCCTTGTGTGCAGCCCTTTGGGCCTCAGAGGTGAGATGCCCCACATGTCTGTACAGCTGCACCCCATGGAATCTCACGCTTCCTCACAGGTCAGAACGGAGGAGGAGAAGTGCCAGGGAGGCATGAAACACTAAGGTGCCAGGCTGCCCAAACGGTGCCTCCTGCCGGCATAAGCCTCCATCTCGGAGGGCTGCAAAGTCCAACAACAACAACGTTCCAAATGTGCCCTGGGGAAGGGGGTGGCCTTCATTTGCAGACGCTCACCCACTCTGTGAGCCGGCACTCCTCACAAGCCACAAAACAGCACCAGTGGAACTTGCAGTTGCACCGCTCACTGCGCGTCTGCCGCAGGATATTGTGGCCCCGCCCACAGCACAGGCTCTCACAGTTGTCCATCCCTGGGCTGGTCTTGTTGCAGAGGCGTCCTTGCGTCCCCATGGAGTCCAGGGCTGGCTCTCTCTCACAGAAATCAGGGGATTTCTCAAAGTAGATCAGGTCACTGATGCCAGCCCGACGCCGGTGGCGGCCGTGGCTCAGCTCCATCTGCCCCGTGTTCCTGTTGTGGGGCCGCATCATCATGGCCCCATAGAAGCGCTCCTTGAGGAGTGAGCCCACCAACCGGAACTCAGGCGTCACCTGCCAACAGGTCTTCAGCTGGCAGCTCCCAGAGGTGCCGTGGCACTTGCACTTTTTCCGCATGTTCTCCATCACCACCTGCCAGGGGCACAGAAGAGACAGGAGACAGGCTTGAGAAAGGTCAACCAGAAAGCAGCTCTTCCCATGCTCTAGTCCAGTCCTTGGGTCTCCAGGTGCTCTTGGACTAATATTCCCAGAAGCCTTCACCACTAGCTGTGTTGGTCATGATTTCTGGGAACTGTAGTCCAAGAATACCTGGGGACCCAAGGTTGGGAACCACTGCTCTAGCCCAACCCTTCCCTCTAGCTGAGTTTGCAACGTGCTTCCAGTAGAAGACCACCTGGCTTTCCAGGCCTTTGGAAGTTCTTAACACTGGGGAGGGCACAATGTGCAGCCCTTCTAGATGTTGTGGACTACAACTCCCATCAGCTCTAGCCATGAGAGCCAGTTGAGAAGAATGGCGAGAGCTTCAATCCAACAACATCTGGAGCATCACACTTTGACTATCTCTGGCTTAAATAGGGCTGCTGGGTCAAAGTGCTCCGAAACAAGCAGCTACACAAGGGCTTACTCACATTGCTAGGGTGACAGGCAGCCACAGAAGAACTCAAAGAACATGAGTGTTAGGGCTGTCAAATCATGGAAGTGCCTTATAAATCTCATTCAAGCTGAAGCGAATACACAGCCGCAAGGGCTAAAACTGTTCTCAGTGAGGCAGGCTGAGTCTGCAAGGGAGTACACAACATGGGCGAGGGAGGAAAGTGCTGCTCCTGACATAATGCACACCTGGATGTCAGAGAGGTCATTAATCATCACCTGTAATGAGGCGAGGAGGGGTGCACATTGTGTGTAGGTGTATAAGTTGTATTTGCCCTTCCAGGATTCAACACAAATAGATCCAAACTGTTCCTGGTTGCTATGGTGTTCACGAACAGGTAGCAGTGGGATTTGAAGGGCATTTTGTACAATTTTTGGATGGGTGCAGCTTGAATAGGTGCAGTACCCAGCCACATGCAGCAACGTGTGGACAGATGTTTTATGGGTTGGGAAGAGGGTTGGGTTGTGTTTTTTGCAAACTCAGAATGAGGATGAAGTTAGCTACCGACCGACCTACCTACCTACCAACCAACCAACCAAGATTGGGAAGAGGGTTGGGTTGTTGTTTTTTTGCAAACTCAGAGTGAGGATGAAGTTAGCTACCGAGCGACCAACCTACCTACCAACCAACCAACCAAGTTGTTTTTTGAAGTTGTTCAAAATTATACATGAAATACAGAGACAGTATTATGTGGGGGTGTATGTTTACAAAATAATAATTACATGCCATCAAGTCAATTCTGACCAATGGCAACTCTTTCTAGAGTTTTCTAGGGACAGAATACCCAGAGGTGGTTTATTGTTCCCTTCTTCTGGGGGTGTCCTGGGACCATGTAACTTTCTCAAGACCACACAAACTGGCTTTCCCCCCACAAGGCACAGCGAGGAACTGAAATCCCATTCTCTGGTTCTATAGCCACATACCCAACTTCCAGAGCTTACCAACCAGCTCATATGTTTAAAAAGAGGGCTTTAAATAAATAGCACCAGCTTTTCTCCTCCATCCCTTTTTTATCGTGGAGTTTGGCTACAAAGCACACACTGTGATAATGAATCATTCTGCAGTTGTGATGGCATACAAAAGCCAACTTACATTAATTCCACAGAAACGAACCACTGCTAAAAAAAAAGGTTTTTTAAATGAAAGTTGCAAATACTGACAGCACATGTTCCATTCTTCCACACAAATGAATTGGATCAGAGTTTTTATTTTTGAGTTCAAAGCTTATTTAGTATTGACAAAAATCACAGCAGAGCTGTTTAAATTTAGATTGGAAGTCTGGGTTCCAAATGTCTGATTTGAAAAGAAGGCATGTGTCTTACAAAACTTGATTTGCTGCTGTGTTCTGTCTTTTGCTGATCTGAAGCCAACAATCTGTGTTGGATGTATTTGCGAAGGCTTTCACGGCCGGGATCTAATGGTCGTTGTGAATTTTTCGGGCTCTTTGGCCGTGTTCTGAAGGTTGTTCTTCCTACCGTTTTGCCAGTCTCTGTGGCCGGCATCTTCAGAGGACAGCACTCTGTGCTCTGGTGAAACATTAGGAAGAACAACCTTCAGAACATGGCCAAAGAGCCCAAAAAACAACAACCAATCTATGTTGGGGTAGAGGAGGCTTCCAAACAGACAGTGCACCGACAAATAATAAATTGTGCACTGCCAGCGACAAGCAGAATTGCAACTGACATTCCACCTTACTGGGATGTCTCATTTTTGTATGTACAATCCACACGTTTCATGGTCACTACTGTTCTCAATATTACTCTTTCCCCACCTCTGGGGGCAACTTCTGATACAGCAACTTTCAGATGTACAACACAACTTTTCACAGTTCAGCCCACAAACTCACTATACTGTTTTGCAGTGGGTGCCACGTTTAGCACCTGTTTATTATTATTAACCAACCATGCAAAAGCAGCAATAAAATCCATCTCTTAAAAAAGAGAAGTATCACTTCAGGCTGCACATCTGTGGCCCCTAGATAGGTACCACCTGGGACTACAGGAGAAAGGTTTGCGCTTCTTTGTTATCCACAGAGGATTCGCCTGCCCAATTCCTCAAGGCCTCTGTCAAAACAGGAACCCTTACAACAAGCTGGAAGAGTAGCATTAGGGACATCTTTGCATGCAAAGATGGCATTACTCTTCCATCGTACTCCAAAATAAAGGCAACAAAAAGACAGAATCAGCACTGGCAAAGCATGAGAAGGTTACAAGTAGCTAGTGACACTTGTGAACCTCTCATAAAATGGGCACAAATAAGCCACAGAAGTTCCACAATATACTATCTTTTGCCTGGGAGCAGTCCCAGATTGAAATTCTTACTGTTATTAAAAGAGGCCCGGCTCACAGGTTAATGATCAAAAGATCAAAGACAGAAACATTAAGGAGGAAAGCCAAGTAAAAGGGAAGAAACATCTATCAAAAAAAAAAATCAAAATGAATTAACTTCTTTTAAGAAGACACTTAAATGAAAAAAAAAAACAGAGGAAAAGAGTCAGGTGTCAAATGGAAGGGCCTTCCCAGAGGCAGGCTGCTGGGAAAGAAAAGTGTGGCATGCACAGGAGAGAAAAAATAATTTTAGGATTATCTAGAAGACTGGCACCTGCAGAGGGAGGGGCCTAAAGAGGTGTGTACAAAAGAGAAGATCAAGATAGAGGAGCCAGGCTAGAGAGAGAGAGAGTGGAAAGTACACACGAGAAGCTTAGACTGAAAAGGAGAGGAGAGGGATAGTCAAGAAAGAGAACTGTGCAAAGGAACATGATCTGAATGACAGGCAGAATGAATTGCCCTTCAGTGTTGGGAAAAGCAGCTGACTGACAGCATGGATCTAACTATGCCTTTGTCAACCTGATCTCCTACTCTCAAACTGTAAGGGACTGGGAGGAGCATGCTTTTGCCCACCTGGCTGTTGTTCCCTCTCCTGTAGGTTCAAATGTGTTCACAGGTTTATTCCAAATGGCAGAATCCAGAAAATAAATCACCAAAGAGAACAGGGAACCTGCTTTTGTTGGAGTGCAACTTCATGGGCCCTACCCAGCATAGCAAATGACAAGGGACGATGGCAATTACATCCATTACTATCTGGAGTGCCATACATTCTTCAAGCATGAGATACAGGGTATATCCTCTTCACTGACAAGTGAGTCTAGTCCACTCTACATTGTGTATAAGGCTAAGGCAGGTGGTTTGGCACTGGATCACATGCAAAGCTCACGGGAGACATGGCGCCAAACACAACACGGTGCCTTGTCCAGTAGTTCAGAGATGTCCACTCATGTGATATGTAATGATGCACTGAAGACAAATTGATTTGACTCTTCTGTGTTTATTTTACCTTTTGGGGGTTTCTAAATGTGCCGAGATGGAGAGGAGAGATGCAATAGAAAGGAAAAGGGGAAGAGAGGTGACAAAGATTTTCGCACAAAGGAAACCAAGCCAACACTTTGTGAATCTTTCCTATGCATAAAGATGGATGACGGCACAAGGACTCCAGATGTGATTCTTTGCACCAAGTGATTTTTAGTAAATGGAATGAACTTCTATATGGAATAGTATACCTGTCTCCTGTATATGTAGATCTGATACTCTGTCTTCTCTACAGCTTTCCTGGATGGATGCTCTCTCATGATTGTTAAATAATTTATGAGCCACTAACAACCCGCCCTCCCCGAAAAAAAATGCCGATCTGCCTGCTCCACTCTTCAGGGACCTTGCTTGTTTCCCCCCCCCCAAAAAAAAATTCACAAAGATAACACACAGAATCTGTGTGATTGTATCTGCAAGTTCTTTTAGTACTCTTGGGGTACAATTCACCTGGCCCTGGAGACCTGAAATTATTCAAAGTAGCTTGGTGCTTCCATATCACCTCTTCACCTTCTTGTTGCCTTTTTTATTCAGCTTGCACTGCTTTCCTTTTGAGAAAAGGCAGAGGCAAAGCAGGTGTTGAGCACTCCTGCTTTTTCTCTGTCACCTGTTAGTATTCATCTTTTCCACTCAGTGCAACAATTGCTCCATTTTTTTTCCGTCTTCCTCTGAGTAAGATTTTTGTCATTTTTAGTCAAAGCAGCCATCTCAACATAGTGACACAGCAAGGGTTCTTCATCCCCTGTGAAAGTTCTCAATAATAGCACAATAGGAGAGAGAGAAAAACACAAGTGCTTCTTCATTGTGTTTTCCAATTTTTGGCTGAAATCTTGTTGCTATATGTATGTGGAAGACAAACGGCACAATATTCCATTACTTCTAGCTGACTATTAACAGGTCGCTGCTGAGATTCTCAAGGGTGGCTGCACCAAGTCAGCAAGGGCTTGTTAAACACCAGCTAAAAGCAACTGGATGTTACACCGTCTGCCTTCCATATGTGTTAACAAAGCAGTAGGATTTCAGCCTGTGTGTAGAATGTCTCAGTGGAAAACCAGTGTCTTCCTCCTTTGTGAAGTTAAGCATATGTGTATGCAACTACACCCAGATAGATAGGAAGT